CAACATTCCATTCATAATTCTACATGCATGTGACACTATTCTTATCACACTAAAAATAGTCAGTGGCAACAAGGGTTCAATAAGCTGAATATACCGAGCTCTGTTTTCACTCTAAAAATAATGAAAGTGTACTGTGATCTGATTAAGTTATGATTAATAATACAACAGACTATATAAATCCAAAAACTGCCTTCTGCATTTCCTCATACAAGCACAAATGAACCATTCTAATATCTAAACAATTACATACTTTTATTCCAGAGAAATCCTCCATCATCATCATGATCATCATCTCTCACTCACTCACACAGACACAAACACAGACACACAGACACACAGACACAGACACAGACACACACACACACACACACACACACACATGCACACACACACATGCACACACACACATGCACACGTGCACACCCACACCCACACTACACCTTGAATTTCAACTTACTTGAGTATACTGTTCCAACTATAGTTGAAACCACACTTCCAATACATAATGACAATATTGCAGTTTCATATGCATCAGTACCTCAAAAGGTGTAGAGACACCTGCATGTGTACTACTGTCAACAACTTTAATGATAACAACTATGTGGCAGATGGAGGAGTGGGGGTAATAAAGTGCACCGTTACAGAAGTCATTATTTTAAATGTCTTTTTTACTGAAACTATGTTAATCTGCAACTCTGACATATAGCATTTACCCAATGGCAATAGATTTATGTTCTGTCCCATGTAGTATTTTGTGAATTTTGTTACATACAGATGGCTCCACACCAATAACTATTATGATGATAAAATTATCATTAAAATATTAATAACAATAAAGTAAAATAAATTAAGCTTTCCAAAAACCAAGAAAAAGGATAAACAGGTGTGATAGGTAGGACTAATAACTGACTCCTTGGTGACTAAAGACTTGTAGAGCCATCCATGTGTAAAGACAATACATGAACTTATATTACAGTGGGCATGCATTCTTGCCGTCTGGACCAATTGGGTTAGTCTGCGTAAAAGGGTGGTTGTCCTCCCCAGATTCCAGATTCTGATTTCATGTGCTCCTATTACACAATCCCCCCCCCCATGGTTGATATATCCCAAAGCCACCAAAGATGATAATGGAATTTAATGAGCTCATCCTCCATATGCTAACATAATTAGAGCTGCCACTAATACAGCATTTTATTCCAAAGAAATGGACACATAGTTCCCTGATAGTTGTAGGAACAACCTGCTTGATTTTCTGTACTTTGTATTGTATTTGTATTGTATTCATTAAAAGAAAAAAAAGAAAGAAAGAAAAAAAATCAAATATGAAGTTTTCTACATGATGTCTTAACATAGTTCATTACAATAAACTGAAATGCATAAATAAATCATACACTGTGGCAATGGACTGGGAACTTATTTTACACAATCTTTGACAATATAAATAGCTGATCATCCATCAATGCTTCTAGCAAAGATGTCTTGTAAAGTGTAAAGTTAATTGCATTTCAAAATGTTTTTGTATAATGGATATTTCAGACCTTTGATCTATTCTATTGATAACTACCGAGGACTACTATTTATAAAGTGAAATATCCTTAGTATATGATTAATGATTTCACAATCTAACATCTTCATACCCTAAACTAGTGATAGCTAATCATTCAAGCAAAAAGTGAATTGGCACTACTGAATAATAATTGCATTGCCAATCGAAGCTTAATAGAGAAGGTTCTCTGAAGCCAAGACTGGGATATGTCATTATAGCTCCAGCTTAAATTCGTGACAAAAATTATTTGTATTTCCAAACTTTTTTCTGCTACTGAAGCAACTAGCAAAAATATATATAATCCTAAAATATTTCTTCCATAATCAAATGATATTCTACACCAGATTTTCTTCTGTTCTGCAGATCATACACTTTGATATCTCAGCAATAAACAAAGTAACAATGACACAAGAATTTACAGGCTTGTATAAAAGTAGCAAAACTAGAAAAATACCTTGAACGAAAAAACTACTTGGGTGAAGTTTGGATCCCTATTCATGGGGCTTCTAAAGCAAATATGAATGAAAAGACAAGTAGACAGCATGTGTACCTTTAAAAATTTCTGTGACTTTGCATTACGGTGTCCATTTTAAAATCCATACATACACACAGGCACATACACAAAACAAATAGTAGTTGTTCAATTTTCTGCCTAAACCTAAATTCTGCATCAGACTAAATATTCATCTTTCAAGGCCAAGCATTAGAGTTCCATAGAATCTAATCTAATGGCCGACTGAAAGGAATTATCACAAAAACCTTCTCTATCACATAATAATCATAATTGAAGGCAAACATTTACTTTAATACCAGTGTAGATCTTTGAAAAGTGAACTACACTGTTCAACAGATCAAGCTATTATAGGTATTACTTTATCTATATCTTTCTGTTGCAAATTACTCAGTCAGAATGCCATGGATACATCATTATTACTAGATTCCTTGGCTTCATATGGCACAAAAAATAACTTTGCTTTCTCAGCAGTAAGTTTCCACACAATATAAGTGCATGAATGAGTTTCATCAGATGACAGTCACATATGAAATGCTCTCACAAACAGTAGTTATGTGATGGAAACAATGCATATGTAAAAGCTCTTAATATAGTCTGATCAAGTGCATAATTTTTGTTTTGTTTCCAACAGGCATTAACTTAAATACTTGCCCAAAATAATGACTTCAGTGTATTACATGCCACCAACTAAATCTGATAAAACAATGTTCTGCAGCACCTATAAATTCAGATGAAAAAAAAAAAAAAAAGACAGAAAAAACAGAAACTGCCATGAATAACTTAAAAAAAAACAGGTGCAGAGATTATTTTCACTGTCAAGCAAATGTTTATACTTTATACAAATTTCTCTTTTCTTCTGGGAAGATGCCATAAAATATGGAGATGTTTTTTCTTTTCCTTTGCACTGCTGTGGTACTGATTTTATCTTAACCTCACCATAAAGTATTCATTAATCTCAAAACATAATTCCTAAAGCAAAAGTTATTATGGATGAATCAAACTATATTTAGGTCTAAAACACAATTCTATAACAAATTCTCAGCTTCAATGTGTTACTTCTGCCCTGGTCTAGTGTTACACTTCCCTGCAACTATCAACCAAATCCTAGACTAATATAGTCCATTTTGACTCAGATATAATGAAATATATACCTGTAATATCACTGCTATTATCACTATATATGCCCAACCTACCCTTTCAAAACAAGAGCTGTAATAAAGGGGAGAAAAGTATAGAAAATAACATATAAAACTTAACAATGATACCGCATACTCTCTGTGTATTTTGGGTCCTATATCTTAATGCTAAAATCATAAGCTCATCAAAATAAAATTTCAAAAGGTACTTCTAATGGGTTAACCAATTCATGATGGGGAAAATGAACAAAAAATGGGGAAAATGCTGTGCTCCTTTTTTATATTTTTTTGTGAAATGTCTCTACACATAGATGGCTCTGTCTTTCTTGATTTCACCTTTCCTTGAATTGGTGGGAAAATGTATTTTTTACTAGTGCTATGAATATTGATGGTGTTATCTATATTATACCCATTATAATTACTATAATATTATAAACAATAGTAATAGCAAAATAAGATAACATAAAATATTTTTGTAAATTAAAGAAAAGGGTAAACGGGTGAGACAGGCAGTACTCGTAATTGGCTCATTGGTGTTTTAGTACAAGTTTAGCCATCTATGTGTAAAAACAATTAAACAAGTAAACTCACAGTGGGCATGTCACGTATATGTGACAGCCCATTGCAAATGGGTTAAGGTTGGTATACTCTTGACAATTTAGTATTTTATGCTTTTGGAGTAAATGTATAGAAAATGAAAGGGCAAGGTGCAGATAAAGAGAATAGAGGAAAGAGAGAGAGATAAAAAAAAGAGCAGGGAGGGAGAAGAGAGAGAGAAAGAGAGAGAGAGAGAGAGAGAGAGAGAGAGAGAGAGAGAGAGAGAGAGAGAGAGAGAGAGAGAGAGAGAGAGAGAGAGAGAGAAAGTGAGGATGGAAAAGAGAGCAAGAAAAAAAAAGTGAAACAGAGCAGAAGGAAGAAAAAGAGAAAAAGTAAAAGAGAGAGGAGAGAGTATGCATTCACTATTGTGAGAGCTTCACATCACTGACTTCATAATAAAATAAATATAAATAAAGACATAATTCTAGGCATATCTCTCACATTCCAAAATACCTCAAATACATCAAAAATCCATAAACTTGTGGGCAAAATTTCTCACTCTCTGTTTTTTTTGTTTTTGTTTTTGTTTCTCTTTTGATGGAAATGAATAACTTCTTGGTATCTACATCGGATGTGCATCAACTGTAGTATTTCTCGGTAACTCGATCAAAAGAGTCCTTAATTGCTTTTCTGGAAAAATAGAAATAAAAATTACCATTGTGAAACATATTAAGCAATTGTGCTAAAAATCATGATCCCAAAATAATTTCAACTCCATTGAAGTTATTCCAAAATACATCTTAGCAAAAAGTAATAGTAAATATAGCAAAATTAGAACACTCCTATTGCATAAAAAAATAGTCGTAGTAAGAACGGTAACAGTAATAATAATAATAATAATAATAATAATAATAATAATAATAATAACAATAATACTAATAATAATAATAACAAAACAATAAAAATAACAATAACAATAATGATAATAATATAATTAATAATAAAGTAATAATGGTAATGTGATGTGATAATAATCTTGGTGATAATGACAATGATAATGAAAATAATGATAACAATAAATATATCATTACCATTATCATCATAAATATTATAACAATAATAATAATAATAAAAAAAAAAAAATAATAATAATAACACAAGTAATAACAATGACAAAATAAAAATAATAATAACAATAATAACAACTACGACAGCAATAAAAATAATTATGATAATAATAATTAATAATAATAATAATAATAATAAT